TAAAATTATCTCTTTGACACACACAAAAGTATATTGTATAGTCCCTTTTGAGATCTAAAAATTATTTTTATTCACTGGAAACTATAAAATCTCAATATCTCCATATGCATAGGCTTTAATGAAATATTGTATAGCTCAGGATACCCAAAGAATTCTTTCCTTTTGGGGTGAATTATTCTTAAAATCTCAGGGAAAAAAAAATGAAAGAAATGAATTTATACCTTATAAATAATATTCCAGAATTCATCTTAAAAATAGCAGACACAGCTAAAATATATTTTTATAATAAAAGTTTTACCATATTTAATTATTCTACAAAAGTCTCAATGTTCTTTCTACTGATTGTCTTCTGAATTGATTGGAACATATGCTTTTCAGAATTTTATTTTGTATCATGGTGGACTTTATGTCTCATTTTTTTTTTCCCATTAAGATTCCAGAAGCTTATTTCATTAGAGATCCCTATACGTTCCTTCTTACAAAGGATTTTATTAAGGTATATGTGTTATGTTTAGTATTGAAAGTGTTCTTTGGCCTTTAGCTGCATGCATGTATTCACAGGTTAGCATTTCCACATTTAACCCCAGCTTCTGGAAATAGGAATAGTGACTTTGTTAACTGAAGCATGTTTGGAAGGAGAAGCAAAGCTTGTCTACAAAATACTAACACTTGGATGATTCTGCACCCTGAGAAAACAGCACCCGGTGAATTTTCTGGACTTTTTTTCATGGCTGACTTGGGATACACTTGCATTGTCAAAGAGTGTGTTGGCTTCTCTCTTTGATGCATATTGATTGTGACAGTCACCCTCCTTCCCCTGCAGGCCATGGAGGCACAGATACAGAACTTTGGACAGACGCCATCTCAGTTGCTTATTGAGCCACATCCGCCTCGGAGTTCTGCCATGCACCTGGTAAGACATAGCAGCGTGTTGAGATTTTTTTTTTCTTTCCTTTTTACCTGGATAGAGAGCAAACAAAATAGTGATTTTAGCAGCATATTTTTAAAGGCTTCTCGATTTATCGATTAACTCTTTAGCCTAAGTACATACTGATACCCCAGACAAAAACAGAGAAGGGAGTATAATTCTTACCTTTAAGTCCCACTTAAGCTAGCCCAATTTTGGATTCATGAAAATAACTATCTTTTCTATGTACATCTCTGCAGAAGCTCGTTCATGCACATACAGGCATAGAGACACACGCTGGCACCAAAATTAGATTTGATTTGTAAATTACAGTGAAAAATATAAACACAATACAATATCGCCAAATTTGGGGGCAAGGTGGGGTGGGGGAGTAGTTCATTTTAAGAAAAGGAAAGAAATATAAAGGTAATTTGTGGTTACTGCAGAGAGGTTGTTGAGCAGTGTTTGGGGCAAACACTGTCTGTGCACTAACTAGTAAATGATTCGGGCAAGCTATTTAACCTCTCTGTGTTTGTGTCTCAGCATCTGTAACTTAGAGGTAAAAACAGTACCTACCGCTGAGAATATAATGACTCAATGCTAGATATCACTTAGACCAGCACCTATCCTATGATAAGTTCTTAATAAATGTTAGCTGACATCATCATCATTAGCTACCTGTGTCAAACCTTTTATTCCCATTTTGCAATGAGAAAATTATAGTCTTCTCATTTTAATATGAATTTTAAAAGGACATTTTTTTTAACAAAACAGCCCCTTTTCAGTTTATTAGCAAGTAGTAAACATTTTCCTCTTTATCTAATTTGAAGAAAGTGAAAAGTTTTTTAAGAAACTTCCGTAGAATTTATTTATAAAACTTTGATTTTTCACCAGTTTTTTACTGAAGTAAAAAATGTTTGAAGGTTAAAACTTGTTTACAAAATGAATTACAGTCCATTTCAGTTTTCTAGGTGGTTATCAAGATAATAAGTATCCTGGTGAGGGAATAAACAACTCTGGAATATGCTCCGTAATTTATGTGTGAACAAATCTATCAGCTGTTGTTTCATGATGGAAGCATTGTTCACACCTTTCCTTTATTGTATCAGTTACTTAACAGATTTTTATGGAGCCCCTTCTGTGTGTCAGATACGATGCTAAGTGTTGGAGGTACAGAGACAAATACATCTTCTATACCTTCAAAGAATCAATAGTCAAAGTCCCGGAAAACACAGAAATAAATGTGTTTTTATACATTTTTTTTCTTTCTACGATAGCTCAAGCCAAACAGTTTCGGCCCCTTGATTAGTCACTAATGAACTCTCTGACTGCAGTTGGGCCTTCTGTGTAGCAAAGCAGAAAGGTTTGCCCAAACTCAAGTCGTTCCCATGTAAACCGCCAGCCACAGAGTAGGCAAGACATGTAGCTTTAGAGCCTCAAGCCTTGAGATGAAGCATTTTTAATAAACTGTCCAGGAGAATACCTCTAACACTTTGTTTTATGAAATGGCTTGGCAGAAGAGTTTTATTCCCGTGTTAGTGTTCTCTGTTTAA